TCTTCAGTTGATGGATGTGAGAGGTCTCACCATTTCTCATGTCAAAAGCCATCTCCAGGTTTTTTATTTATTTATTATTTTATAATTATTTTCTAATAATTAATTATTTATTTTCTAATAATTAATTATTTATTTCTTGATAAATTAAATTATTCTAATTCTTACAAAATTCTGTTGTCTGTGGTAATGCAATCTTGATGAAAACAGATGTACAGAAGCATGAAGAGTGAGGCCACTACCACCAGACTAGGTTATATTATATCCATTAATATTCACTAAATATAGAAAAATACTAAATTATTTAATTTCCCAGTACTTCATTTATTATTTCATTTCTGTTTTTGTAGCACATTTTAGTGAAGCTACAATCACATTAACTCTCATCAAATTCCAGCATACAAATCTAATAAATAAATTAAATTACAAACTATACCCCTCATTAAATATTAAAGTAAAATTAATAATTAAAAATCCATTCTTTTTCACTTTGTTCTTCAGATAGAAGTACTACTACTACTAGTGTTACACAGCGAAGGAAACAACAGTCTAATTGTGAGAATCATCTGTTCATTTCTCCTGCTAAAAGGTGATCAATCTACATGAACCCTTTTTTTTTTATCTTTAATATATATAATTAAAAAATAGAGTATTTTTGAATTTATTTAAATATAATATAATATAATATAAATAGGGCAAGAATCGAGAAAATGGAAAGCAGACAAAGAAGAATAAATGATCCGTACAGAGGTGATGATTACGTGAAGAAGAAGACTAGTATGGCTGAGAAAGTTGGAATAATGGATGATGAAGCAAACAGGGTTTTACAACAATCTCTCTTTTTCAAGGTACAATCAAATACCCCTACTCTCTCTCTCTAGATTTTGAAGCCAAGGTACAATCAAATACCCCTATATATTCTTGGTCAACTTTTCTTTTTTCCACTCTATATTCACCATTTATGAGTTATCACTATTCTTGTACAATTACGATAAATTAATAACAATCTTGTTTAAATAATAATTTCTTTTGGTCCCGATTCAGTGAAAACGTACTAAATTATTAACTCGATAATTTTTTACATTTTGCTAAATTAATAGAATTTTATTAGTGCCGGTTGTATTAATTTATAGATTATTTGACCTTATTTAGAGTTAGGCATAAACTATTTACGTATTAGGTTGGTGAGCAGCAAATTCTTGGAGTTGGTAGAATTAATTTATTTTAGTCAATAATTCCTATCTTCTTGATTCATTAATTTCTGTGTGTTTTTTTGAAAATTCAGCAGAATTTTTTAACCTCTCCCAGCTATATGTTTGATTACACTATATTATTTCCATATTTTGTAAACAAATTTAATAAAACATTTATTGGAGTAAATACAGTTTTCATCCCTTAAGTTTAAGCCGATTTCATATGTCTTCACAAAAAAACACAATCAACCCCTCATGTTTAAAAAAAAAAAAGAATCAACACTCTTGGTCCTTTCCATCAATTTTAATGTTAAATTATTGAAACACGAGGGACCAAATGTGGTTTTTTTGTAAATACGTAGGACCAAATGTGGAATCAATGCAAACTTGAGGGATGGAAACTGTAACTTCCCCAACATTTATGACTTGGTTGCAATTTTGTTGAAAAAAAAAAGAATAAGAAGAAAGATCTACCATACATACATATAGGAATAAATGATTCAAATGTACCTTTTTGCAGGAGGAAGAAGACAATAATAATGGGGAATTAAAGAAATACTCACCAGGGTTGGAGCAGCAGCAATCTGTGAATGAAGTAGATTTTTGTGAGCTGTCTCTATCTTTGCCTTTGCACAAGACAAGTTTTAATAATAATGTATTATCTTCCACAAGTGAGATTAGTGAGGCTATTACCTCTAATTCTTCCCATGATTCACTTCCACTTAACCTAGACTTGTCTATTGCTCCATGTGGTGCTTAGACTTTTTCCTTTTTTTTTTTTTTTTATTATTTATATGAGTATTATTGGATATTGTTCGGCGCGGTTCGTTTACTAATATTAAGTTCTATTGACTAATACGAATATCGAGAGTTGGTGAATGATGTTCGATTGTCAAGATTCAAACTGATTCAGATTCCGGTAAAAGATGTCTGCTATCAAATTTTGATATACGATAAGATTAGTAGCTATATACTACCACGTGTGATTATTTTTATAGATAATTACTAAAATAGACAAAAAGAAAGATGATTTTGTCTCTACAATGATACAAATTATAATATAATTATTATTAAGTTATAACTGCGTAACTATTTAGTTAGTCAATAGAGAATTAATTCTCTTCAATCAAATCTAAAGTAGCTCTTGATCCATGTAATCCAACAAGACCTTAATCTTGTAATTATTTAAACGTAAGGGACTTTTTCGTCATTTGACCTTTCTCCAGGGGTGGCCGTAATTTGCCCATATTTAGTATGTGATGAAAGAGGCCATAATTCCCATATTCAAACGACAAACAAACTAGGAGAAGAATTGCGAGAAAAATAAAAAAGAAAACAACGAAAATCACGAGAAAAAAAAATCGGGCCACAACATTCAATTACAGATAAATATAGGATTTAATTTACACAGCAATACACAAGTACAAAGGAAAAATATACATTTGACATGGGAGAAAAGAGACGTACATCGGTCAGGTTCCTAATCGCTTAGTACCGCATTCCGAGCAGAACTTGGATGTTTCCCTTAGGTAAGGAACTCCACATTCATCGCAGAACTTTGCAGGACTACTCGGCTGAAAACCATAGAAAAAAAGAAATTAATCCGGCAATGAAACGTTTTCTTTTTTCGAAACTGAAATATTTGTAGATCACAATGAAAATAGAATACGTCAAACCGTACCAACATAAGAAGAACTACTGGATAAGGATAATGAAACTAGCGGTCACTGAAATGAATAATCGTGCAGAAAAAGAAAAAGACAGATATCATAATAAACCAAGAGCGGGTACAATCAGATTCGGAGATACCAATTCGTGCATGGACTATAAATTTCAAGAACATTAGGATTTGAATTTGTTATTATGGATTTGAATTATTTCAATCGAATCATTCCATCTAAATGCAACCATATATTGCGTCTCAGAGTGTCATGTATATGAGTTATCCAAACACCGTTGGAATCATTATGCCAAGAGTGGAGAGCTCAAGCTCAAATTTCAAGCTTAATTATTTATACTACTGCATATATTTTCGTAATTTATTTATCGTGGGCTTTCAACAACTAGATATGTGGTCGAGCTCGAGTTCGAACTCCGTAATTATATGTATTAATGATTGCATACTTGAATACAAAAAGGGAGGGAGAGTCGAGAAGAGATGAAAAAGAACAAACGAACCATTACATGCAGACGCCCTCCGACATGAGTATGAGACTGTAGACAAGCTATATGTTGGGCCATAGCCGAGTGCTGGTTGTGAGTAATTTCAGGCAACTGAGGTGGAGGAACACACTGTTGGCTGTGCATATACAGAGATGCGTGTGGATTTTGATTCATATGATGACTCTGGTGCATAGGATGGAACTGAGTTTGATGTCCCAGTGTTTGCATATGTTGCTTCGGTGGAGTCTGCTCGGTATTCTGTGCATTCAAGTGAAAGGATGTGTAACTCAACGGTAGTAATAACAAATACATAAACCGAAAATGAGGACAAAATTAATAAAAAGGTATTTATATGAGCAATGCACAATCTTCTTGGCTGCCTAGGTGCATTAAAATAAAATAAAAATGCATTACAAAATATGATGTATTAGTTTCTCCTTTTAACACTCGAAAAGTTAACATGATACCCTAAACCTGCATGCAGCTATACCAGCATTTTAAACATCCTTCGGCAAAGAAGAAATGAACAAAAATAAAACTCTTCCGGGACAACCAAATGGATTGATTACATTCACCAAATTTTATTTAAGTGTAAAAAGAATGCATTTATGTTGCAAACAAGAAGAATATCTCACATCGTTTGCTGGGCGATAGCCTTGAGAAGTACTCATCGAAGAAGAATTTTCAGGACTAGAGAATGCCTGAGATATATGTAGGGAGTTTAATTAGATTGAATGGTGAGGCTGAAACCAGCATTGCGGCTAAAAGTTTGTTAGAAACTTACAGGCAAACCAGGTATGCTGGAAATGGAATTCGATATGCCACGCCTGTACTTGTGTCTTGGAGCATAAAACTTGTAGTCGCTAGCAGAAATAGCAACTTCATTCCGTCCAGTCAATCTTTTGAACCTATTTGAGATAGTGCAATAGAATTATTGTCACGAAATTTAACTCGTATGGAGACTTATCTATAGCCTTTAATATTCAGAGGTTAGGATATGCTTTCTGATTTTCGGAAACAATGAAATCAGTTTAAAAATTGGCAGTTTCTGCATACATCAAGCAATTCTGTACACACAGACACCAATAACGACTTGCCAACAAAGAACATTTGATTAATTGAACACACTGGAAGATGAAAGAAACAATGATAGCTGCAGAATTGGTACAGACAGAATTTTCTATTGATCATTCATCAAAAGTAATTAACAGAGGGTGTAAGAACTCCAGCAATTGACATAAAAATGCAAAAAGATTGCAAAGACTGACTCGATCACAGT